GCAGGGCTGGAGAGATGGCTCAGAGGTTTAGAGCACAGGCTGAGTTCTCCCAACCACCTATAATGAGATCTGGTGCCCTCTTCTGGCATGCAGGTGTACACACAGGCAGAAATGGTACACATAATAACTAAATAAATCTTTAAGAAAAAATTCTAGGGCAGCCAAGGCTACAGAGAACCTTGTCTCAAAACCCAACAAGGAAAAAAAATCTTAGCAGAAATTCAGAGTTTCTTTAAGTTTCTATCTATATCTTTTATAGATGGTTATGAGACACCATATGGTTGCTGGGAATTGAACTCCAGACCTTTGGAAGAATAGCCAGTGCTCTTCTGAAGCTATCTCTCCAGCCCCTATTTATCTTTTAAATGACAACTTGGAAAGCAACTATTCTCAGGTGATTTTAGTAGATTTAATGCTCCATGTATACGTGACTAGAATATTAGGATGGAACCTTATGTAGTATGTAGGCATCTGAGGAGTTAAACACATGTAAATTTAGAACCTGCAAAGTGATCAGTAAACGCACTGTATTGTGCAATGTGCATCATATCTGGACTGTCAACATGTGCCAGAGCCAGTGAAATTCTTTTGACTTTTCTGGTTTTATAAGGCCAAAGTCTTGATTATCCTGGACTCACGTTGAGGACCAGGCTGGCCTCGAACTCTCGGAGATCCACCTGCCTTTGCCTCCCCGAGTGCTGGGATCACAGGTGTGCACCACCACACCTGGCCAAGGACAATGTTTTAAATGTAGCCCTTGATGGCCTTGAATTCAGAGATTTCTTGCCTCTACTCTCCAAGTACTGGAATTAAGGGCATGGGCCACCAAACCAAGTTCATTTCTGGTTTTTGTTTCGTTTTGATTTTTAAATCAGTACTGTTGACTGGCAGAAAAGAAGGCTCACCAAGATAAAAGCCATCAAGCCTGAACCCCTGTGGTAGGAAAGACCCGATGCAGGGAACCTGTCCTTTGGCTTCCACACATGCACCATAGTTATGAGTGCATACACACACACACACACACACACACACACACACACACACACACACAAATAAGTAAGTAAAACCAACACTGAGAGGTGGCTCAGCAGTTACGAGCACTGGCAGCTCCTCCAGATGTCCTGAGTTCAATTCCCAGCAACCACATAGTGGCTCACAACCATCTATAATGGGCTCTGTTACCCTCTGCTGACATACAGCCACACATGGAGACAGAGTACTCAAGCATAAAATATATATATAAATTTTTAAAAATCAGCACTGTTCTGTTGCAGATATAAGCATGTTTTTGCTTTAATCCCAGGTGTGGGATGTGGGACTGATTCAGATGGTCCACAGTAGCAAACTATTTGCCTCGTGTGGGCTCTGAGAGGGGCTCTTTGCCAGCTGCAGATAGTTTAATCTGAGGACTGTGGAGACAGAATAAATGCCAAAGCCCAGAGAGTACGGAAAGCTCTGAGAAAGAACAGGGCTTCTGCTGCTTCCCCCTGCAGCTGCTGTTGCTGTAGCGAGACAAGAAGTTGGAGATGTCCTGAAATGAGGATTGGACTGACTCCATGACCCTAACCAGCAGAAAGCAGCTAAGAGATCTGCGCCTCCCCTCCCAACTAACTCTTTCTCCTACCTGGTGTTGGGGTGTTGGACGGTATTGGAGTGGAGAAGGGAGAAAGAGACATAAAAATATGTAAATAAGTTTTTTAAAAAGTACACTAACACTGTTGAAATAAATAGCATGCCATTTGAGTAATTCTGCACTTTGAAACCTTGGTCTCCATCTCCTAGCCTCACGGTTAAAGTATTTTATTGTGGACATATGAAACACACCAGAAATGAGTCTGTGGTCACTGTCACTAAACTTGTGAGGGTCTAATGTTTGATTTTGTTGATGCAGTAGACTTAGTTAGACTCTAAATTTTGCTTACTGGGCAGAAGCTGAGGTCATTTTATAGAGGCTTTCTTACAGTTCTTCTGTGTAAAGACACTAGATGCTGCTACCTCCATTGCATGTGAATGTACTTATGCGCTATATCGCATGAGCTTTCTAAGATGCATGGGTGAGAAGCAACATTCAGGGGGCCAGGCCGGTGGGGCCCTAAACTGGTATTGTTAGTGTGCTGCTTTTCCCAGCCCTGGGTTCTCGTGCTCCTAATTGTACTGAGCAGCCTCTTAAACAAAGATAACTAGATATGCCCTAACACTGCACTCGAACAGTGCCTCCACATAATGAAAAGGTACTCAACTGATCATTTGAAGAGTACCCCTATAAACAATGCTTGATTTTCAAGCTAGTTTTCATTAAACATTTGCTCTTGTTGTGTTTTTGAGAAGCTTTTTTTTTTTAACTGTTGGCTATTAACGGTCTGTGTAAGTACAACAAAAGAAAGAGGGCAGCATTTCTGAGATGCTAGAATGTCCCCCATTCACAGCATTCAAACACAAGAACAGATTCCAGGCAGGCCTGACCCAAAAGCCACTCCTTCTATACCTCTCCACTTAAAAGTGGCTATGAAGGTACTAATTGTGGACATGTGTCACTCTCCCAACACGAAATCAGATCAGACCAATCTGGGCAGATCTTCATGGTGACAAGGGACGGATGAGATCAAACCACGAGATTTATCAAAGCTGTCTTCAGAGAAAACTGTTTAGAGACAAGCATTGGGGACACAGGGAGTGTCAAAATAAAAATGATGTCATGCTGGTCTTGATGACATTTGCCTGTAATCCTAGCACTTTGGGAAACTACACCAGGATGATGGTGAGCTGGAGGCTGGCCTATAAGTATCACAAGATCCTGTCAAACCAACAAGGGAGTGGAGTTGCCTATACCTTCCAAAAGTAACCAATACCAAGAATTACATACAGGAAAACAGTTCTTATATTTGATTACTTGACGGCAATATTTTCTAAGAGTTCCTACTTGTATTCTGGTAAAAACCATCTCCTAGAAATCTGTTCTTCATGGCTCTTCTTTCCCGTCCTGTCACTCCTAAATAACCCGAAGGATCCACCTAAACTAAAATGCCTCTGTAGGACAACAGTATTTTGGGGACCAGTGAGATGTACAGCTCACTGGGAGATGTCTGCTGCCAAGCCTGATGACATGAATTGGATCCCCAGTTCCCACATCGTGGGACGCTGAATCCTCTAAACTGTCCCCTGACCTCTACATGCATGAATGTCACTGCATGTGTGTGCAGGTGAAATTAAAAATTTTAAGTAAAATAACAGCATTGTGGGGAGACTCATGGTCATATTCTAGCACCGCACACACCAAGGCTTGCAGAATCTTAAAATTAAAGAGTAACATAGGCAATAAATTTACTTATTTATTTGTGTGTAATTAATTTCCCTGTGTATCCACACACCGCAGCGCGTGGAGGCTATGAGAACCCACAGGAGTTGTTCTCTCTTGCTGTGTGGAGGCAAGACTGCCAGGCTCGGTGGCCTTCGTTTACTAAACATTCCTCACTGGCCCAACCGAGACAAGTCCCAACACTACAAAGGGGAACTACCCTTCCTTACGGATATGCCACCAGATAAAATCTATATAAGGTCTGATCTAGTATGTATAGTTAGGGATTTGTTTGTTTGGTTTTTTTTTTTTTTTTTGTCTTTCAAGACAAGGTTTCTCTGTGTAGCCTTGGTTGTCCTGGACTCACTGGCTTCGAACTCACAGAGATCCACCTGCCTCTGCCTCCCCAGAGTGCTGGGATCACAGGTGTGTACCACTGAGCCCAGCTCTGTATCCTAGGATTTTAAAAATTTTTCTTCCTACTTCCTCTGTGCTAGGAACTGGATCCAGAGCAACGGATATGCCAGACACACACTTGCATCCAAGCTATACTCCCAGAACAACCTTCTAGGAATTTGAACGTGAGTAAGATACAAAACAAGACCAGAAGAATTTTTGAGACAGGGGCTCAAGTAGCGCAAGCCAGGCTTGAACATCTGGATCTTTCTACTTCCTCTAAGAACTTTCAATACTTTTTTTTTTTTTTGAGATAGGGTTTCTCTGTTCAGCCTTGGCTGTCCTACAACTCACTCTGTAGACCAAGCGGGCCTCAAACTCAGATCAGCTGCCTCTGCTTATCAAGTGCTAGGATTAAAGGTGTGGGCCACCCCCACCCGGTTCAATAAATATTTTAATAAGCATGGAGTGCCTGAGCACTTGACAAAGCACTCCACTACCAAAAATTAATCGCTTTTGTTTATCTGTAATTTGGGTGTGGTGGTTTGCTATTCCTTATCAAAGCTAGTATAAAAGCATGTCTAGCCAGGCATGGTGGCTCACCCCATCATCCCAACGTGAGGCAAGAAGACAGCTGCAAGGCGGCCAGCCTGAGCTACATAGGGAGATTCAAATACGAAGACAGAAACTGGAGAAAAGCCTTTATAGGAAAGGGGAGACAGAGCAATGTCTCGAGGAGCACACTAATGGGAAACAAACAGTAATTAAAGAATTCACAGTCTAGGAATATATTTTTTTAAATTGCACACGTCCCCACTGGGAGGCCAGCTGTACAAACATCTGTGTAAGAACTGGATATAAGGCCATGACAGCTGTTGCTGTGATTATGAACTTACTAAAGCTTCACGTTATTGGACTTAGAAAAGGAGACTTCCCACTTCCTCCTCAGTCATCTATCCTTCAGTTCTTCACACCGGCGTTCTGTCTGCCAAAATCAGGGGCGCCAACTTGCAAGGGGGGAGCCCCGGCGTGAGCCCGGCCGCTTACTCCACGCCGCCCCCTAGTGGTCACCTCTGTGGCCTCGGCTTCCCGCAGTCCAGCTCCCCAGCCCCAGGTCTTCCACCCACCCCCTCCACCTCCTCCCAGTCCCTCCCCTTCCTCCCGACAGCATCCCCTTCCTCTCTGTCCCTCTCCCCGCCGCCGCCACCCTGCTCCGGCAGTCTCCAGGCCGGAGCCCGCGGGTCCGCACCCGGCACTCGTCACGGCACCTTCCACCTCCGCCCGGCATCCCGCGTACCCTTCCCCTCACCTCGTCCGGAGCGCTGCCGGCTTCGCTCTCACTGGGCCCGCCAGTTTGGTCCCGTTTCGTTCCCTTGACCTAAGGCTCCTGGCCAGTGGCCTCACTTTTTGGCCTTTTTCACATATGCATATTTGGGGGGCCTTTCCCCCCCCCTTGCAGGGAAATGGAGGCAGTAAAATGGCGGACCCGGAAGTGAGGACGCTGTGGCTATGCGTCCCGGCGGAGGAATCCGAAGGAAATGGGTCGGAAAAGCCACTCTGCCCTTCGGTCAGGGTCGCGGCGCACCTCCGAGGCCGACCTCTTCCGACTGAGGACCTCTTGAGCTGGAAAAGTGTGTACGGAGGGCACCCTGAACTCCGGGACTACTTCGCGAGGCGCAGGGTCACGGATTACGTGGCCTACGTGAGGCATAGTTCCGGCAGGGGACGGACCTAAATGGGAGTTTTGGCGCCAACATGGGCACCGCACAGGGGAAGCTAGGTTAGCGGTGGGTCTCCGCAGGGCTAGCTTTAGGGTTGGAGGAGGATCTGGCGTCCACCTCGGTGAACATTCCTGGTTATGCAGGCGAATCGGACTCCTGCCTGACCTGACATTTTCCCAGTTACAGCCTGAGTATAGATGTCAGGGAAGACGAGAAACCCAAAACTTTTTGGAGAGACTGGAAGACAGCATAAAATTGTAACACTTTTTAGTCACTTCATCCACCAAACAGTTTATCTTAGTTCCTACTCACCAGTTTAAATGATGAAGGGACTGAGAGAAACCAGGAAAAAAAAAAAACAAAACCTTCAAAAATCAGTAACAAGACAGGCCTTTTATCACAGCAGAGGCAGGGATCTCTGAATTCAAGGCCCAAGTTCCAGGCCCAATATTAAAACCAGCTGGGCATGGTACCACACCTCAGCAAAGACAGGAGGATTTCTGTAAGTTCCAGACCACTCTGATCTATATAGTGATTCCAGGACAGTCAGAGCTAGTGAGACTGTCTCAAAAAAAAAAAAAAAAAGTTAAAAATAAAGCTAATTGTAATCCCATCGTTCAGGAGGCAGAGGTACGCGGCTCTCTTGAGTTCCAGGCCTGGTCTACAAAGTGAGTCCAGGACAGCCAAGGCTACTTAAAGAAACCCTGTCTCAAAAAACAAAACAAACAAAAAGAGTGGCCTGGGGATATGGCTTATGGTTTAGGGGCACTGGCTGCTTATAGAGGAACTCTAGCAGGGCCTCGTGGATGCCTGGCAAGCACTTTTACCACTAAGTCCAAATCCCAAATCTTTCTACCTCAGAGTCAGTATTAGGAAGATAAAAAGAAAAGCTGAACGCAGAAGAGATCTGTAGTGCTTCACTGAAAGAAAACTAAAACCCACACTTAGGATTTAACATCTTTATTAAATAAATGAATGAATGGCAGCACAGTCCAGCTGCAGTCATTTTGGAAGAAACGGGGACAGGTGTGGGGTCTGCCTGTGGTTGCTTACGGTAGCTGAAGAACTATGCCCAGGAACCACTGATTCCTACCACACTCAGCTACAGAAAGGCAAGGCTGAAACACAAAGGACCAAAGCACTCTGCCTGTTCCATGACCAAAATCACAATTTTATGTAAACTATCCAATAATACTGTTTTTTTTTTTTTTAGATTTTATAAACTTTTTGCCTTTTACAAATTATATAACAGTAAGGTTTTCCTGTGAACTCTCAAATCTGATTTTCTGAACATTTCTACCAACCCACAGCTGAGGGCAGAGTTGTGAGGTGGATGTTAAAGGAAAAATTTCTGAAATGAGTCCATGCTTTTCCTCATTTCCATTCACCAGGATGAACTATTTGCTCTTGTTCTGTACCTCTAACTACTGCCATGTTTCTGGGGAAGAAGCAGCAGAACTTAGTACCTCAGCCTTTTAGGAATCCTGTTTTGTAGAAATTGTCTCACTACTTCTTGAAATATTTGCTTACTGGCATGGTGCAGGAAATCAGGGAAGTTCAACTATCTTGGACACTGATTAAAATGTAACAACAACAAAATCAGCCTCCCACTTTGCATAACTGTACTTCTCTCTGGTGCCCCCAGGAAGGGCAGTTTTCTGGGATTAGTTAATATTGTCAGGGTTGTGGGGAGGAACCCCTATGATTTAGTACTCCATTGATTAAACCCTTGACTTTGTACCTAGAGGGTTTGAGGGAAATGGAGTAGGCAGATAAATAAATAAATAAATAAATAAATAAATAAATAAATAGATAGATAAATAAGTACACACATACATACAAACATACAATTCAATTGGCAGATTCATCAGCACCACCAGCACAATAGAGAAGAGAACAAGAAGAGTAAAGTGGAAGGCTTAGAGGGGAGAGGCCTTAAAAGGGAAGATGGTAGGGGTCAGTGGTGGGAGAGGGAAGGCTTGGCCTTAAAGCAGGTCCAACTCAACGGAGTGGATGCTGGCAATGGGGGCTCTCCAGAAGTTGAAGGTGGTGTACTCGAGGAGAGGGTCACCGTCAGGGCTCTTCCGCTCCGCTCCAGTGGCTTGCCCACCCATTTTGCTGCCGCTGCTGCCATCCTTGCTCTTGTAGGTAGATGTAGCTGATAGGCCCAGGTCTTCCAGCTCCGACAGATCCAGTTCCGGGATGGGCATCCTCCAGAAAATAAAGGAGCTGTACTGGCTACTCACAGGGTCTCTCATAATTCCCTAGGGAAGAGCAAACTGCTTGTGAGTCTTCACACTAGAGTAAGCACCTTGTCCCAAGCCTTCCCTTGCTTAAACTGCTCCTTTGTTTGCTCCAGTGAATAGGCCAAGTTTTCTAAGACAAGTACCAGGACTCTTTCTATGACCACCAGCTCCTAACTTCTCCCCATCTTGGAGACTAGAGACTAGTCATAGGCATCTAGAGATTGCCCATTCCATCAGGTTCCTCTTGGCTCTAATTTTTCCTCCAGTAACACACCTCAGGGCTTATGCATACTAGGCAGGAAGTGTATCATGACTGTCTCTATGCTCACGTGTCTGATTTTTGAGGCTTTCCAAAGTCTGGCCCCACTCTCTGTCTGTGTGTAGTATTGAGGGTTAACGGACACTGGTATGTGCTGGGCAAATAACTGTTCTAATACTGAGTGATATCCTCAGCCCTCTCTTTACCTTTATTTTGAGACAGGATCTTAACTGACTTGCCTAGTTAGTCCAACCTTGAACTTGAAATCTTCCTGCCTCAAGCCTCCTAAGTAACTGGAATTACAGGCCTGCTTGTAAGACCTGGAGTCTCACTGCCCTTCCCAGGAACTCTCACAAACCACAGCTCGATGCAAAAGCAAGAGGTTTTATTGCTATCGTGATAAGGTCGCCCCTCCAAAAGCAGGAGACAACCCTGAACATGCAAAGCACAGGGTTTTTATACCTGAAAATCAGATCACTTTGCTCTATAGTTCACAGCTGGTTGTAGATAGTTTACAGCTGGTTGTTTCTCAGAACAGTTCACCCCGCCCTTCAAGAGCTCTGCACTTGGCTTCAATTTAAAGAATCCCAGTTGTTTTTCTCATTCCCAGGTGGTCCCTCATGCTCAATAATCATTAATTGTGCTGAGAATCAAAGCCAGGACCTTGCATGTAGTGGTCACGGACTCTATACACATTCCCAAACATTAATATCTGCTTCCCTCAAGTCCACGTAATACGTTATGATGCTTCTGTAAAGGTCTTCCATGACATGGTCTATTTTTCCTCCTGCCTTTAAACCCAACTTCAAAGTCACCTCTTCCAGGACATTACCCCCAAAGCAGCTGAGGTCCACTACCCAGCTGTCTCCAGCACTGCCTTCCCCAGAACCCTGCAGTTTTACCAGATTCCAACATGTTTTGGTTACAGATTACGATGGCCTGGACATGTGTTTTGGTGTTTATCACCTTAAACAGACCAAAAATTCCTCTGGATAGAAATCCACCCACAAGAGTGGGTGTGATGGCACACACCTTTAATCCTAGCACTCAGGAGGCAAAAGCAGGCAATCTTTGTGAGTGCAAAGCCAGCCTGGTCTACATAGCAAGTTCCAGGATAGCCAGGATACATAGACTCTGTCTCAAAAAACAGAAACAAAACCAAACCAAAAAATGAACACTTTTGAGTAAGGTACTAGCTAGACCTTAACATATTAACATTACTCTGTCCTCACTAGCACAGTGGACACTTTGCTACTGTCACATATTTGTCCTTAGGGTGACAAGAATTCATTATGTCTCTCTGGCCTATCTCTCCTCAGAACAAACCCAGGTGGTAAAAGAATTTTTTTTTTTCTTCCCACTACACCAGGATCTTTTCCCTCTGATCCAAATGCTAAAATAAATCTAACAACAGAGAACAAACAGGTTGGACATACCAGGTAAGAAAGTAAATTTTAGATTGGAAGGAAATGGTACCTCAGCAGAATCTCAGCTCTTTTTCTTTAGGGTCTCACTATACAGACCAGGCTGGCCTTGAATTCACCAAGAGCTACCTGCCTCTGCTTCCTGAGCGCCGGGATTAAAGGCTTGTGCAACCATGCTCAACTACTCTTTCCATGTTTTAGCAATCCATTGTAGTATCTTTGCTTTTCACCCATTCCATAATCTGCCTAACTCTGTGACTAGAGTTTACTTACTAGCAAGGGAAAGGGCAAAAAGCTTAGTTTAAATGTTCCCAGAGGAGCAAAGAGAACATTCCACTGCCACCAAAAATAGAAGTCAGAGTTACAAAAATTATTTCTGGAGCACATTATCAGCTCTAACCAGCCTGGGACTCCAAAAAAGTGGTCTTAAGTAGGTTCCAAATCATCCCTATATGATGTGAATTGTCTATACCAAAGTAGGAAAATAACTTAACCCTAGAACACAGTCTATACTGTGGAGCCAAATGGTCTGTGGATAGACCAGAGATGGGTTTTTTGTTTTGTTTTTGCTTTTGACTCTTACTTCAAAGTAAACTCTAGTTCAAGCTGGCTTTGAACACACTCTTCTTGGGGAGGGGCCACTAGTGCTAGAATTATGGGAATGTTATCACCACACTAGGTCCAGAACTTTTGGGCTGTTTTTGTTTTTTGAGATAGGGTCTTCCTCTATTTTCCCGGCTGTTGTTACTCAATACCTAGTCCACCTGAGCCTTCTGGCAATTGTCTTTCTGTCAATGTTCTTGCCTTAGTCTCCAAAATGCTTGGATTCTAGGTGTGTGCCCCATACTTGGCTTCAGACTTTGCTTTTTCTCCTTAGTCTTGGGCAAGGGTAGACAGACATACACAGGTGTACACAAGGGTACACATCCAAGAGTGTGTGGAGGGAGAGAGGTAAGCGGAGGACCTCAGATGTCCTGCCCTAGCAATATGTATCCTAGTCCCTTGAGACAGGGTCTCCCACTAAACTAGCTAGGCTGATGGCCAACAAGTCCAACGATCCTTGATCCTTCTGTCTCCACCCTCCCATACTGCTGTGGCTAAGGATGTAGGCAACCACACCCAGGTTTTTATTTGAGTGCTGAGGATTTGAACTCAGATTCTTTTCTGAGACAGGGTTTCTCTGTGCAGCCCTGGTTGTACTGGAACTCACTCTGTATACAGATCAGGCAGGCCTTGAACTCACAGATCCACTTGCCTCTCCCTCCCTAGTGATGGGGTCAAAGGCGAGCGCCACCACCGTCCACATATGTAACATGTATGTGGTCTGACCCACAGAGCCATCTCCTCAGCTTTTTCTTCATTAAAAAATTTGTAATTAGAACTCAGTGGCTGGCTCTTTGATTACCTCTCCCTGAAGGCAGGCAGCCTTTTCAGGCCACAGAGGAAAACAATGCAGCCAGTCCTGATGAGACTTGAAAGGCTAGGGTCAGAGGGAAGAGTAGGAGGACCTCCCCTATCAGTGGACTGAGGGAGGGACATGGGAGAAGACGAGAGAGGGAAGGGGCTACAGCTGGGATACAAAGTGAATAAACTAATGAATAAAAATATAAATAAAAAGTGGAAAAGATGTGTAATTTATGTATGTATTTTTGTGAATGTATGTGTGTACGGTATATGTGTGCAAGCAGATGTTAGAAGAGGATGTTGGTTCTCTTGGAGCTGAAGTTACCGTGGTTTTTGAGCCAGCAGGGGTACTTGGGAACTGAACTTGAGTCTTTGGAAAGAACAGCAAGTGCTTGTACCTTTTCTCCATAATAAGCCACTCCATTTATAATCACAGCTCAAGAAGCTTAGGCAGGAATTTGAGGCACATGTGTTTGGGCCCAGTTTGGCAAGACTCTAACTCAAAACAAAAAGAGAAAAAAAAATTTTTTTGTTTTGTTTTCAGACATCTCAAAGCTCTCAGACTAACTTCAAAATGTAACTCCTAATATTCCTGCCTCCATCTCCCAAATGATGGGATTACAGGCATGATCCAGGATACCTAGCCTTAAAAAGCAAATTCTGTCTGATGGTGCTACACACATTTAATCCCAGAACTCAGGAGCAGAGGCAGGCCATCCCTATGAGTTCAAGGATAGCCTGGTCTACAGAGCAAGTCCAGGACAGCCAATGCTACACAAAAAGAAACTCTGTCTTGAAACAAAGCAAAACAGAAAAAAAACAAAAAAGCAAATCCTGGGTCTCTCTGTGTCTTTTTTCAAGCTCCAGAACAAGCCCTTGGGAACTGAACATTACTCAGCAAAGAGGCTTACCGAGGGTGATGATGAGTCTGAAGCAGAGTTTGTACAAAGGTGAGGTCATTGTCCCATAAACTCAGCTCTGATCTTCTCCATAGTAATTTGCAGATGTGCTCTTAGACCTAGCAAGCGTGACTTCACCTATAACACCTTTGAACGAACCAATCCCTTAGGTCTGGGACTACAGAAACTACAGAGCAAGCCTTAAAAGTCAGTGCTGATGAACCAGGCTTGGTGGTGCACGCCTTTGATCCCAGAGATAGAAGGGGGCAGATTGCTGTTTGAGGCCAACCTGGTCTACAAAGTCTAGGCAGCCAGGGCTAATAAGGAGAAACCCTGTTTCAAACACCAAAACAAAAAAAAAGTCAGCGCTGACTCTGCTTACCAGAAATGTTTATTACATTACCAGGTTTCTCCTAGCTAGGCGACTTAAAACAATTGTTTTTCTTCCTTGTAAGTCTCCTACAGAGTGACCTTATTATATTGCAGGCATATAATACTGTTTTTCTAGGGACAGTGTCCCAGGTAGCTCGTGGCCTTTGTTACGTAGCAGAGGCTGACCTTGAACTTCTGATCCTCCTGACTCCTGGAAGATTGTATAACAGGCTCTTTTTCTTTTTTTTTTTTTTTGTTTTCATTTTAAGATTTATTTATTTTTATGTACAAGTGCTCTATGCGCATGTACACCTCCATGCCAGAAGAGGGCATCAGCTCCCAGAATAGATGGTTGTGAGCCACCATGTGGTTACTGGGAATTGAATTCAGGACCTCTGGAAGAGCAGCCAGTGCTAAGAGCATCTCTCAGCCATCTTTCCAGCCCATAGTAGGTTCATTAAAAAAAAGGGGGGGCAGAATCGTTAGGGGGAAAAAGCTTTGTTTTTGTCTTTTGAGCTAGGGTCTAGTTAACTATGTAACCAGGATGTCTAGGTAGTTATTATATAGCCCAGGCTAGCCACCAGCTCAAGCTCCTCACCAGTTAGCACTTCCAGCCTTCTGAGTGCTGAGGTTACAGATGAGCATCGTCATCACACCTGGCTTAAAATGTTATTTGTTCTTGATATTAACATGACAGGTCTCCTATACAACCCTGGCTGTGTTAGATTATTCAGTAACTGGTTAGGTTGCCTAGCCATTTTACGTACCTCCCAAGTCCCACAGTTTCTAATCCACGCCCTTAAAGCTGGAGCTGGAGAGATTGCCGAGAGCACTGGGTTGGGAGCCCTGCGCGCACATGGCGACTGACAACCAAGGCGTGTTCCAGGGCTCTGACACCTAGTCGTCTCCGGCACCAAGCACACACTTGTCATACATTATATATATATTTGTGGTATTTTCTTGGGGCTTTTCAGACAGGGTTTCTCTCTGTGCGTAGCCCAGTCTGTCCTAGATCTTGCTTTGTAGACCAGGCTGGCCTCGAATTCAAAAGAGATCCGCCTGCATTTGCCTCCCAAGGGCTGGGATTAAAAGCGTGTGCCATCACGCCCAGCTAAAATCTTTAAAACTTGAAATTAAAAAAATATATATATAAAAAAAAATGTGTGTGTGCACGTGAGAGGGCTGTGATGTCCATGGCCTGGGCCTATGCAGAGGTGACACGACAGTCCCAGGCATCAGTCCTTTCTTCCACATTGTTTGCCCTTGTAAAGGAGGCAAGCAGGCCTGTAAGCTTCCGAGGAGTCTCCTTCTCCACCGTCCATCTCGAGAGAGCTGGACATGACAGCCAGGAAGAATTTTGAGCCTGGGGTGGTGGTGCACACCTTTAATCCCAGCACCCAGGAGGCAGAGGCAAGCTGATCTCTTTTGAGTTCTAAGCCAACCAGGGTTACACAGTGAGATCCTATCTAGAAAATACATATGTTTGTGGTTTTATTTTTGTTTCTTTTTTGTTTTGTTTTGTTTTTTGAGAGGGTTTCTCTATATAGCCTTGGCTGTCCTGGAATCACTCTGTAGACCAGGCTGGCCTTGAACTCTGAGATTCGCATGCCTCTGTTTCCCCCGAGTGCTGGAATTATAGTCGTGTACCCAGCTTATTTTCATTTCTTAAACAAGGTCTTGACATGTAGCCCTAGTGTTGGCTTTTAGCTTGGAATCCCTGCCTCCCACCCTGAGTCCTGCTGGGATTATAGGCTGTTGTCATTACTCCCAGCCACGAATTTACTTCTCAAAAACAATTATTTTTTTTTTTTTTTTTTTTGGTATATTCTGTTGACTACTGTCTCTGGTTCTAATCTGAATGGGAGGAGAGGTGGGTATGATGGTGAATTCCTGTGACCCCAGCATCTGGCAGGTGGAGGCAGAAGGATCAGGAATTTGACATCAACCTTGGCTACAAGAGACTGCTGTGAAAACAGAGTGAGTAGAGACTATGGGAGAATTTGAGTCAGCGTTGATAAACTGACTCCTAACAACCATAAAGTTGCCTAAATAATTTCTCAAGGACTGGAGGAGCTACCATCCAATTTAAAAGCCGGAGTCCGGTGTGGCAGTGTGGCTGTGACCCCAGCACACAGGAGGCTGAAGCAGGACTCTGAGTTCAACCTGGGCTGCACTGGGTCCAAAGCCCCCAAAACCAAAAGAACAAGAACACGAACAAAAAACAAACCAATACGAAGCAAAATCATTTAAAGGAATTTTGTGAAATACAAAAAGGCTGAAAATCTCTAGCTATGCCATTGACCCAGAGACATGTAGAGAGAGAGCCAAATTCATGCCAGAAAACAGACATGTAGGCATATGTGGCATTAAAATCTAAAAAAGACAGGCCGCTTCTCAGCTAGCTTCCCTTTCTTTCCCTAGTCGCTCTTCATCCATCTTTGTATCTATTTTTTGTTTATCTTAACGGCTCCAGATGGCGACTAATGACATGCTATATGCTCAATAAATGCTTCCCACTGCCATCCATTTTGAGCTACCCAGATATTTTAGGCAGAGTAACTTCTAAATTTCATTGTCTATTCTTAGAGATGCGATGATTAATAAATACACACATTAAAAAGATACACCTTCTTTAAGCCACATGGACACACCCAAATACCCTTTGTCCAGATTCCCCCCACAAGCATCCAAGGCCTACTCCACAGGGTCTTGCTGTGTCATGCCGCCACCATGAACAGTCTGTGGAGGGCTGGTGGTGGATGGAAATGGAAGCTCTCTGGTATTCCTCACGTTATTCTAGGATTTTATTAGCCACAACCTTCCCGGCTTACTAGGAGGAGCTGTAAAGATAAATCTGTTTTCTCAGTAATTCCTGTGCACTACCGTGATTTTTCAGCATGCCATCAGGCATTTCCACAGTGCTTCCACCTGTCCCACCTCAAGCCTCTTTAGAGCAAAAATCTGAGACAGGGAGGACATTGTTAACGGTTCCAATCACTCTCAATAGCATCCCATATTTTTAAAATAAGGAAAAAAGAAAGGAGTACCCTATTCCCCCAAACTCCCTACAACAGAGACAGAACAGTGAGGTGTGTGTGTGTGTGTGTGTGTGTGTGTGTGTGTGTGTGTGTAAATACATTGAAGTAGAGGCTACAATAATTACAGTAGGAATAAAGACTCACCAAATAACTGGTAGCAAAAATTATAGCTTGAAAAGGAAGATACAGATAACTAGACACTAGAGAGAAGCCATTAGATGCACAGGGCAAAAATTATAGGAAAATGGATACACGAAATGAAGAGCTAAATGCCGAGAAACGATTACAGGTTAGAATGAATGCCTAGGTCCATGATATGGCATAGATGGAGATCTTAACAGAGATAAAAATCTGGTAACAGTTAGCTACCCATTGTCCATAGCGCCCCCCTCTCTCCTCTTAAACTGTCCACCACCTTGGGCTCACACGGGGTCCTTCAAGCTGGAGATAGCCGTCCCTCATCTAGGTTACCTGTTATCAATGAATGACTAGGATGTTCCGAAGATGGAGAGGATGCCTCAGGGGCTCGGGGGTCGGCTCTGGACTGGAGAGGAGGAGGGTCCTGAAGGAAGCCGTTAGGGATGTGACGGCTTTGTCTCCTCACGCCTTCTCCCTCCTTTGTGACTGAATCGGCCGCCGGGTCTCCCCTGCAATGCAGCCCCTCCTAGCAAGGGCGGAAGCACTCCCCGCCCCCTCTCTGCCTGACTCGGCTAATTCGAGGGATAGGTTCCGGGACTGGCCACCGGGGCTGGAGCCTCTCCGTCGGCTCGCACGGCACCCCGCCTCTCCAGCACCCTGGTGCCGACGGGGGTGCAGGGGCCGAGCACTTTACCGTCCCCTAACTTGGACGCGTGGGTTACAAAGTCCTCCCGCTGGGCAACAGAATGGCCCTCCTTCCCCGCACTGTAAGGGCTGAGGGGGCTTGGGGGAACCCTGCGGAGGGGCCGGCGCGGCGGCGGCTCCGCGCCTGCAGCAGGTGGACGGAGCTGGGGCGGCCCCCGGGGGTGGCGCGGGCGTCCGGGGGCGCGGCGCTTCCCGCTGTCCCCGCGGGCCACGCCGCGCGCCCCGCCAGGGCTGGGCGGAGCGCTGCGCTCGGCTCGCCGCCCGCGGGTTTCGTAATCGCGTCGCCGGCGTTTCCGCCCTCGGCCGGCCCCACCTCTGCCCG